TACAGACAGGGTAACTGCAAAGACTCCCTTTTGTGCTTCGCACACGGGAGTCAAAAACAGCTGTCAATCGGCCATCCTTGACCAGATTTTGAAACAAATTGTCATGGACATGCATCCTAACATGTATAAAGTACATGTATGTGCCAAATTTGAATGAAAACTGACAGAGCACGTCGAAGATACTGCATAAAAAAAACAAAAAAAACAAGATGCCTGCCAGTCGACCATCTTTGATGCAATTGCAAAATAAATAGTCATGGACATGTATCCTAACACGTATAATCTATGTACCAAGTTTGAATGAAAACTGACAAAGCATGTCCAAAATACAACATTTTCAAAAAAACAAGATGGCTGCCAGTCGGCCATTTTGAATCAAATCACCTAAACCACTGTATGTGCATATGTCCCACATAAGATACTAGGCACATGCAAAGAATGAACGGAATCCGTCCAAGGGATTCTGAGATAGGACTCCGGACGGACGCACAGACGTACGGAGACCAAATTATAAGTCCCCGTTTTCGGACTTCGTCCGAACGGGGACTAATAAACAAAAGCATGGGAAGAAGCTGACAATACACATATTGTTGATAAAAAAAAACACTGATTTGTGAGAAAAATGACATCATCACACATTTTAATTTTATGTTAAATAGGGAGACAGCATCCAGTATCATCGGTTAAATAAACAGTGAAATAAATAAGGATTAAACAAACACACACTGTAACAATAGGCTGACTAGCATTTCCAAACCATTTGTGGAGGGACTGTGACATAAGTCAATGATACTACATGAGAAATTTCAGGAAAAACAAACTTTGATGCACTTGGTGATACAAGCAAGATTTTACATGAATATAGTTCATAGTGATACGATGATTTCTACTGGCAAGCGATTTATGCAATTTTTTGGGCAAAATAATTTCATTGCTTAAAGTCATGTGAATGGTATATATGAATGATGCTGCAACAAATTGCTGAGATCCCCTCTGAAGCAAATCCACTACGGAGAGTTGTCAGTAGCTCCCAGCTATGGTTCACCAGGATGATGATGATGATGATGATGAGGAAAACCGCATCCTGTTTGATCAAATGGAGGCTAATGTTGTTAGATGACATTCATATGTAAATAAACCTCTTCCTACTTTGTTTTAAAACCATAGGCAGCTGAATAAAAATTGTGAATGTTAGGTGTACCAGTACATATCACAGTCTTCTACATTAGAATTCACTGTTACATTCATACTGGCCTCAGGGTATTTAATTTGAAAGCTAAGAATGAGATTGTGAGCTGTCTCCTTAAATAAGCCAATACAAGGGGGTGCTGATTGGCTGTCAACATAGAATATTTATGAATTCAACCGTTCACAGGCTACGTCTCAAGACGTAATAAACAATGCACAGTCATTTAAGGTGAACATAACTTACCAAACTGGTACAAGTAAAAATAGAGTTAAAACAAATTGAAAGGGTACAACCGAGCACAATCAAATGATTTTATATAAGGAATTATTTTTGCCATATTTCTACTGTATTTTCCTCATGATCACTATTTAACTCTTGCTTATACTTATTCTCTCACCATGGAGTTTATTCATTCATATTTGGTACGGTATTATCCCCTACTACAACAAAAAAACGATCTTGTTCAGTGGTCAGTGGATCTCTCATATAAGCTCACAAAAAACATGATTACATTAGATTTGTATGCCCTTATAGAATTGGATCCCTAATTAGTATTAGCTATAATAATTTAAGCTAAAATTAGTTGATTATCTGATCCTATAATAACACCTTAACTAAAATACCTTGATAGTCTAATGGATCTCATAGAATAATCAACGTTCTCTTTAAATCTTCTATTTTTCTGACTGCTCAACCAGGAAAGCTGGGAAGATTGAGATTTAACTCTACCACTGCTGTTGAGACTACAATGGAGCAAACAACATGCACTATCACAACTGCACATAGGTTTACAAGTTGAACTAGAATATCTAATAACATCAAGACTATACTACCGTACATTCCTGATCATTAGCCCCTCCCTGTGTATAAGCCCATCCCTCTATTTTTAGAGGAGTTGAGAGTATCCCCGGTTATAGGCCCGAATGATTTCACTGGGCATCAATGAAATTTATTAAAATAGGCATGTAAAAAGTGTTTCATAGCATAACAATCTGGATTGGTATGGTAATTCATGCTTTTATAATAAACTTGCATTAATTTCAGAGTACATGGCGGGCGAACATACAGAACATGGTTCACACTATTTCTATTCTGTTATTCACTCAGGATGAATCCCGATGTTGCAATACTGAAGTAATCCATATTTCTTTGAGTGGTAGCTTTCAAAATGTGGCTGTCAAATGGTGAAACGTGGTCATTGGACATTGTTTTACTTTTCATTGAGTCTCTCTGAGTCTATGAATTGGGTGTGAACAAGTAAACTATTCTCCAACGTGACCTGCGACTATGAAAGGTATTAAATACTTTCTCCACAGTTACTTTACCTTAGAAAATCGCGAATTACCAGATTTTAGGGGGGAAAAAATGCTGTTTTTTCTTCGAAATCAGGGCTAACAGATCGCATTTTAACTTTGTGGTACAGGTAATTCATTGTCGCATTGCGTTAAAAAGAGTTACATTGTCAGTACAATACAGCATTGTGATTGGTTAATGAAATATTTGATCTGTTAAGTCAAAGGACGTTGTTTCCGGTCAAATTGTTCTGGAAAACATCATGGCGGAAATTGTTCTGCATCAAGAATTTGTGTATGAACAAAAACATCCCACAACAACGATAATGACAAAGATCTTATCTTAGAATGTTTTTTCACAGACCCTACTCATTTTTACACCGTAAATTTAGACAGTATGTAAATATATTGTAACAAGCCATGCATGGCACAGTCTCCGTTAGTTATCACATCTAAGTTATATAGTTTTGTTCATAGTAATATAGTACAAGAACTTGTCTATATTGAGAGATATTGCTCTAGAACAGCATTAATTGAAACAAAATGGCCACCGGTCAGCCATTATGAATCGGATCCTCAAACCAATATATCTGTATATCTATGAGATGATGTATAATGAATATTTAAAATTTGAACATATTCAGTCAAAGCATGTCAGAGATATGACACTGGAATTGCATTAATTAAAACAAAATGGCCACAGGTCGACAATTTTGAATCCGTGCTGAAAAACAAAATGATGTGCACCAAGGTCCCATAATGTTCAATGTATGTACCAAGTTTGAAAAAAATTTTTCAGTAAACAGCAGAGAAATGCTTGATTTTGATGATTTTCCAGTACAAAAATGACAGCCATTCGACCATCGAGTCAGATTATGAAACAAATTGATGTGCATATGTATAATATTATGTATGCGTAAAGTTCAAATGTAATCAGTCCAAGCACGAACGCACAGAGATCAATCCGTAAGTCCTCGTTTTCGGACAGCATTCAAACAAGGACGAAACATTGTTATATAATATTATTCTTTTTATCATAGTATGTTTCAATGTGAATATGCATTGTCATAATTAATTTTGAATACAAAGAAGTTTTTGGGTTGAAACAACAGCAGTCTACCGAATGTCCTTGATAATGTAAATATCTTACAAAAACATTGGTGCCTAATTTGTTTAATTATTTTGAGGGACATAATTTCCAGCTTTATTCAAAGTAATTCAGATATTTTAGTATAAAAACAAATGCCTCATCTCAGAAAAAAAGTGCTGCATTCAGATGTATAGATTCATAAAACATGCAAGATAACAGAAATTCTTAGCTGGCTTTTGTCCAAGTATTTTGTACAGGTGTCTGTCAAATATTAATGATTCACTGAGACAAATATGAACTGCCTTATTATATTCATTGTGTGACTACTGTGTTACTTGAAAAGTAAAAAAAAACGCCCTCTATGAATAGCTATCATGTTACAAGCTCTGCTTTGTATGCAAATCAACTTAAATAGTTAGTTGGTGGGCTCATAACACTAATTGAATTTCCATAGACGACAATGTTAACATATGACGAGAATGCTATATGAAAATGACGAAGAAAGTTTAAAATATGGCTCAAAAATGGGAAATCAACATGCCAGTAATCAACCATATGAAAAAACTAACATGTTGGCCAGCTCAACTCTTGCAATCTCAGTAAACAGA